GGCCATTCCCATAGGGGGTGGGGGGCATTTCTCGTTCTAATACACAGTAGAATTGTAAATGGGCTGTTCCGACAATGTCATGCTCATAACTGTGCCTGAACTACAACATGGAACTGCCGCTTTTTCTTTTCTCATCCTTACTATCGTCATTGTCCTCTACTTCTTTTGTATGTTTGTTACTCTCTTGTGACCCGCTATTTCCGGGGTGCCTTTATAGTCGAGCAGACTTTGTGCTGTTGAGGCTAGAGAGGTGAGCAGAGTAAGCCTGATTCCCTGAAAGGACTTCTCTGTTAACATCCACCCCTTGGCGCTCATATGACCGTACACAGTTGTGAGCGCCGTAAAACCTCTACTAAAACAAACAGTTACCTATGTGCCCTTTTTTCACCTTTCTTACACGGCCTAGTCCAGCTCATAGACGGAACATGGTTGAAATGTTCTGTGTTCATGTTTGTATTTGTGCCGCTGAGATTTAACAGGTATAAATCTTATCAAATCACTTTTGAGGCAACTTTTTCATCAGATGAAAATTAATCAGAGAAATTTGGAGGGGAAACGGCTTCGCCACCAACATCCAGAATAATTCATTTTAGAACAAAGAGATGGAAGACAAAGGTGACTCTTCTCGTTTGAAAGGTTCTCGAAATGCCGTGACTCGCCGTGAGAAATCATAAAAAAATCACCACTGTTTTGTTCTTATCGCTTGCTATTTGGCAGTAAAGAAGAGAAAGCAACCTAAGCCCCACCCACATGTAGGTCCACCCACCGCCATTGTTATTGATCCATTTCTTGTTTCGTCAGACGAAGCTCCCAAACAACAACCCAAAACCTTGCTTTTCCCAAACACTCCTGATACGTCATAAATTCCCAACTGACCGGGGCTGGCTTTAATTAAAGGATTCGATCCAACCTTCTTGTCCCAATCATAAAACGGGCGGCTCAAAAGACAGCAGAAGCCGGCGTGACACTCGACAACACTTGGATCGCCTAACGATTGTCGGTGTCCTTTGTTTGGCGTCGCGTCATAGTCCCCGTACAATTGTAAGTGGTTTTTCCGAGCCATTCGATAGGAGCGCACTGTGTGGCCCTCGTGCAAACAGAGACTCTCCGATAAGCCGGTCCGTCTATTCAGCGCACGTAGACGTTTGGGCAACGGTTCGGGAAGTCCTTAAGGGTACGTAACAGTAGTCTAAACACTCGGGTATAACGTGTAATCATAAAGGAGGGCCCTTCACAAGTCTATGACTGAGCGTAAAGTGAAAAGTCTGCGCCTCTTGGGACTCCTGTCGATAGAACATTAAAGAGGTCTTCAACTCTTTTCAATAACTGAAGGGCGGATCGATAATTATGAGCTGGCGATCTATCATGATCCTTTTAATAATATGTTTATAAGTACAAGAGCCTTGTTTCAAACGTCATTCAGTTAGGAAAGGGTATAGAGACCGTCGAAGTCTTGTTTGCTCAAAACATTGCTTCCTATGGGGGGG